CCCTCTTCCCCAGGTCCTCCCTGTCCTTGCCCCTGTTCCAGGCAGTCCTCGCCCCTGTTCCAGGCAGTCCTCACCATCTTGCTGTTGCTCCTCAGGGTCCTCTCCTAATTCTGAGTCTCGTCATCTCTCTGCTGCAGTAAAGACCCTTTCGTTTGATTTATGCCAGTGGCATAGCCTTCCTGTTTGGCTCCTGCTGCTGCCCACATGTGGGTCTTGCCTCGTTCCCCACCTTACATGCTTCTCTGCATCTGTCCCGTGCTGTGATAGGAGTTGGATTGTGGGGTCGCATCTTTTCCTGAGTTTCCCTGTGCTCCTCACCGCTGGAGTCGGGGAGTGGAGGGACGTGGTTACTGTGAACCTGTAGGAGCCGTGTCTGGTGGACTGTTCTCCCAGGATCTCTCTCTAAAGTTCTTGAGCACCTCATCTCCAGGCCTCCTGCTCTGACCCTGTGGCTTCCTGGGAAGGGGGTGCTGGGATTTTCTGCTTCTCTGAGGTGGGGTGTGAAAGGTCTAAGGATAACCCTGGGCACAGCCCTCCTGAGACAAGCCTTCTTGTCCTCCAGCACCTCCCAGGAGAGCCGTTTCCCAGCCAGCCAGAGGTACTTGCTGAAGTGGAGTGTGCCTCTAGGGCACACGGACGTGATCCAGTATGGCCCCGGCACAGGGCACCAAGGCAGGTGCCCCACCACACATGCGCCCGAGAGCCTGGCCGTGGTCCCTAATGCGAAGCCACGTGAGTGACCCCATTGCTGTTCTTGCAGGTTGGGGTCCGCCGTGCCTCACCCGAGGGTTCTGTGGTGGGTCTGGTGGGACAGCTGTCCGAACGCTTCTGCCGTGCCCCTGAACTTGTCTCACCTGTAGTCCAGCCTCCTGCAGAGTGAGCCGTGGCCACCTGGAGGTGCACTTGGCCACCCCAGCTGGGACTCAGGTCGCCCTTCCATGAAGCACGTGAGCAGGCGGCTTCCTCTCCAGATGGGCCCGAATTGCAGGCAGCAGGAAGTCTCAGGTCAGACCGGCTCCTGTGGCCGCTGTGCACACTCCAGCTGTGGCCAGCATCCTAATGCTTCTGCCTGGGTTTCCCTGTGACGTTAGTGCTGGTCTGTGAACTTGTCCAAGTGAACTATGGCGCGATGACTAGAGGCTGTGGAAACGTCCGGCATCAGGCCTAGTCGGATTGTTCTTACTAAACATCGTTCATGCTGTGGATTTAGACCCGAGTTCCAAAGTCATTCTTTCCTCCTCCTCCTTTTGAAAATTAAAGCAAGGTCTGGTTTATTCACTTGTGGGCCTCTGCCCTGGACCGAGGAACCAGGAGAACTCAGAGCAGGAGAACTTTGAGAAGACCCCTTAGATGTCAGCTGAGCCTTAACCTCTCAGGGTCAGTCCCTGTGCAGAGGTTGCAGAGCCCGAGAGCCACTGAGAGGCCGCACGTTGATGGGAGTGGGCCTGCTCTGGGAGGTTACTAGAGTTGCAGGTCCCCTGCGGTGCTGGCTCTCAGGTGACATGCACACAAAGGGGTGGTGAGCAGAGGAAGGAGGACCAGGGAGGAAGAGAGTGGGGGAGAGATCCTTCTTCAGATTGGCATGACTCATTAACATGTATTCAAGGGCAAATTGAATATCGTAAAACAGTCTTTAAAATCATTTAAAATTATTTAGAAATATCGAAGTTATTCATGTCTGTTTTGTGAACATTTTAGAATGCGTTTGTGCCTGGCACAGTGGCACATGCCTGTTATCCCAGTGACTTGGGAGGCTGAGGCAGGAGGATCACAGGTTCAAGGCCAGCTTCAGCAACTAAGCGAGGCCCTAAGCAACTTTGTGAGACCCTGTCTCAAAATAAAAATGAAAAGGGCTGGGGTTATGGCTCGGTGGTTATGTGCCCTTGGGTTTAGTCCTGGTTACCAAAAAATAAACAACAAAAACCCGTGTTTGTACCTGAGCTTGCCTTATTGTGTTGGAATAGCTCAAGCTGCCTGTGATTCCAGACAGTGTAGTCCAGCCCCATCTTCCCTTCGTCACCTTTGTGTTATGACTTGTGCTGACTCAGAACTGGGGAGGGTCACCAGGGTTAGGGCACAAAGCAGCTGATTGAGTCAGTCTTTCTAAACCCTGGGAGGAAGGGCCTGGGAAGTGTCCGTCTTGCATTTGATTCCCAGAGTCGCTGTGAGTCTTCCTTCCTTCCACCACGCATGGTGAGTGGAGGCCCTGAGTGTGGGGTGGCCCTCGCTGTCCCCCAAGA